GGAGGCCTCCCATTGGACTTGAAGACCCACCAGCAACAGCAACCTAAAGACAGCATTATTCATCAACCAACACTACCCAGAGTCGAATATTGCACAACATCACAGTCACCTAACAACTCATCCAAGGGAACCAAGGCTACTAGCCCTCGCCGTCGTCCTGGAACCATCAAACAAGCGCCATCCGGCCCCCACACCGGCTCCTCCCGCTCTGAGCAACAGCCAGCCTTGAGCCCTACAGACATGTCGTCTCACAACCCATCAATCCACTACACCCGGACTGGTCGTATCAGCAAAGCAAAGAAAGGATTGAAAGTACACAACTGCGAGAATTGCGGAAGAGTAAGTCCCAATATACACATACTGCCATCAGCTCCACGATGCAGACGTCTAGCTGCGTATGAGCTGCAGGTATTGCACCGTACCTTGTTGCAGCCAAACGTATTTGCTCAGTCACTAGATATTACTATGATGTTTGCAGTGTATCTTTGCTGACCAACTACTAGTCTTACACCCGGGCCGAGCACCTAAGGTCAGTTTTTATTCCCATCAGAAACTAAAGCGTCACTAACAGCGTATGTCAGACGGCACCAGAAGAACCATGCTCAAGAAGACGCACTTGTCTGTCAGGTTTCAGGATGTGGCAAGACCTTCTTCCGGATTGATCTTCTTCATAGGCATCAGGAACGACAGTATGCGGAACCGACATGACTCCCAAAGACAGTATACTGACTTTGAGCAGCAACGAGCCTGGAAGAGACACTCCCCAGCAGAGTCCGGAGGGCTCACCAGAGCCAGCGTCTATCGCTATACCCGCCTCCATGCCCGCTCTCGCGTCACCCATAATGGAAGTGACATCGAACCCCCCAACCACTTCCTATTACCAGCCCGTATCTCCCATGCTGGAGACGGTGCCATTCACAAGGTACAACCACGCTTCGTTTCGTACTCCCAGAACGCCTCAAAATCTCTCGTCAAGTTCTAGTCTCATTCCTCGTTCTTCTCCTCATACTACGTCTAGCCCCAAGTGAGTTTCATTGCACATGATCGAGCACTTCTTTCTTCTTTCTTCTTGTCTCGTCTCATATTCTCTACTTGAACGCACACTCATTCTATTCCAGTCAACTCAAGCATCCCCGTTCACAATACAACCGATCTTCTGCAGCTGTGCCCGTGCCCATGGATGCTATGACACCGGGTCTATGGCACGAACCGTACAGTCCCACCCCCGGGTACTCCTCCTCAAGTGGGTATGCATCGCCGATCGCATCGACCGACTTCCCCACATTTGGCAGCGCACCTTACCATCGAGCGCGCACACCTTCGAACGCATCTATTATCGACCCATCATGGTCATACCAATCACGGTCGCCAGCGTCTACCACCTCGACCATGGCATTCACATGGGGTTCGAACGACAAAGGATCGACTGCTTCAAACCTCGCCTACATGAATGCCTGTTCCTACCCAATGACGACTATGTCGATCCCTACAAGTATGGATACAATGGCTGGATACGGACACTTTGGTCCACGGACAATGATTCAGAGAGACGAAGAGGAGGGGGTGATTCTCTTTGGAGACGAACAATATGGTATGGCTTCGATCGCACACACCCATCCATTTGAGCAATATCTTGACTATTACTGGAGGCTCTTTCATCCCACTTTCCCCGTCGTCCATCGATCTACCTCTGTGAACCCGTCCCCGATGCTGCGCGCAGCCATGGTCGCCATAGGCAGCCAGTACTCGACCGATTCCAGCGACAAGAAGAAGGGCCGAGACCTCCACGACCGATGTTTGAAGTTGCTTGAACGGGTAGGTTAGACGCATGTCGTACTGATCTCGACTGACGTGAAGCAGAGAGACCACGAAGCTTCGACGGAACCAGATCGTTTATGCGATTTCCAGACGATGTTTCTTATCGAGATACTATCCCAGTACCGTGCCCGACGGGCTGCTAAGGTTTTGTCGTCGCGCTTTGACAAAGTGTATCACAAGGTAGGTTGAGTATAATTCGAGACGGCAGCAGACAGCTGACAATGTCAGGCTATTGAGAATTGCAGGAGCATGACTCCAAAGATGGCGGATTTGGTCGCAAGCCCTTCTCCGAACCATTGGGCTCACTGGGTCGAGCTAGCCACCTGGCAACGCCTGCTCTTGTCTTGTTTCGTTCTTGAGTCACAGCAGCGTCTCCTACTCGCTCGTGAATCTTTACCTTCCTTGATCCACGATTGTCATTTGGACATTCCGTTGCCGGCAGACAGTTCTCTTTGGGATGCGACGACTTCGACCGAATGGGCTACAGCTGCCCAACGGCATCTTTATACACCATCATACGTTGACGAAATAACTCCCAGGTCTCTAACAGGCCCTCTTGATACTTTCCAATCATTTGTCATACTCGCCGTGCACTACAATCGCAACGAAACCCCGGCACCATACATTTCCTCCTCGACAGCTTCGAACCTTGAATCTCTTCTCGATTCTGCGCCTGCCACCACACGAATGCTTCTCGTAGCAAAACTGGTGCAAGTGACCCCTATCCGTGCACTTGTAGCCGTTGCGAGCGAGTCATGGATCTTCTCGGAGAAGGTCGCAACCCCACAAGCCTTTGCTGCACTAAAGACTACGCTTCGCACATGGGTCACACAGCTATGGTCTACCAGCGAGCCAGAAGGTGTACCGGTCAAGGAAGCACTAAAATTATCAATCAAGATTCTGCAACAAGCTGTCGAGGAGCAGCGAGATTCTGTGCCATTAGAGGTGGGTACAGATATGAGCATCTTCTTTGCCGCTCTAGTTCTGTGGATCATCACTGTCGCAGCGAACACACGAACGAAAGGACTACACCAGACAGCCAAACAGCAAAGCCGACGGCAGAGTCATTCCGAATCGTCACCGATCTTCAAGTCAGCCTGGATACCTACAACCCCTTCAGCACAATCCATAGGCCATGCTTCATCTTCATCAGTTCGACACACACTAGCACCTTCCAATAGCCAGCCGCAATCACCAATCATTGAAGCTACAGCGGAAAATCCTCTTCTTTCGCATGCGCAGATCATCATCAACACCATAAGTTTCCTCACCGATACCCTAGCCCTCTCCGATAACACTATTTCCCTACGCCAGTCTCCCGCAGATCATGCACGTCGTCAAGCAGGCTGCGTAAGCCTACTTCTCTGGGTCAAACTCCGACTTCGTGGCGTCCCGCTTGAAGACCAGAGTGGAGCTGCCGATACCTGGATCAACAAGTCTGGCGATAGGCTTGGCGAGCTTCTCGAAGGTGTCGTCGGATCCATTGAACGCATTCTAAAGAAAGGCTGGAGTGATTGGGGAATATAACCCAGTCGCTTGTTTCGTTCGCTCCTCTTTCCTACTTCTGGGCCTGCACCTTGCATCTTGGATTTTCATATCACTTTGCATACCCTGTTATACTGTCCAATCTTCTCTGCTCCGATTTTTGTGTTTCGTCTCTGCTTTCTTCATAGCGCGGCATTGGTATGTACGGGCAAGAAGGATACGATTTCATGACTGTTTACGGCGGATACCCCTGTTTACTTGCTTTATGCTCCTGCGATTCGTTATTTGCAGTTTGTACTCTCGAGTACGTTGCGATCACACTCTATATTTCGGTTGCCATACATAAGTTATATCTTACTACTCACGAAGATTGCATTGTTGGGACATTCAAACTCATGTGTTACATACCCGCTTCATGTCGTTTTAATCTTGGTCGAACATCTTGTATATTACAAAGCCTACAATAAAGACCATACACGGGCATAGCCCTGATGCTAAGAAGCCAATCACCCTTGCGCTTGTCACAAATGGAGGATCTTCGTGAGACTAAGAGGGCCATGTCCACTTATCTTCCTAACCAACTTCGCGGTACTCACATGCCGAATCCTGCAGGAATGCATGCTTATATGCAATTAGGCCACCACCACCCAACACTATGTGGAAAACATTCTAGATCATTCCCTGTTAGAGAAGACAAGTAAGGCAGGCAATAATTTACCCCTCACATCCAGCGCCGTCCCCTAAGCCATTCTACCTCCTTCTCAGTCTTCCTCCATCCACGATCCTCAACTCTATTTCCTCTCGTCCTCACAAACACTAGCTCATCCCTTTTCTGCTGCACATGTGCATCGTCCACCTTCTTCTTCTTCTTCCTCTTTTGGACGAGCGGGTACTCAGGTTGACGGTCCGGATAGTATGTAGTATAGCGATTGCTGTATCTTTCTGATCCAAGAGGGTGAATTGAAAAGTGTGAGTTGTAAAGATCGTAAGTAACACTCCTGTGCGCGATTTCAGCAGCAGACATGGAAGTTGAAAGACGCTTGGGAATATACGGGTATATAGAGCCGCGTGATGTGAACCATGATGGGAGGCGCTCATAGCTGGACGGGCCTTGGGTGCTTCCGAAAGGAGATGGGTGCACGATGCGTGTTCGACGCCCTAGTCCTGTTGAAGTTGACTGTATACTTGTATCTTGTTGGTAGTGTTCGCGACCGTGATAGTCGTTAGTCAAGAGCTCTCGCTGCATGGCCCTTGGGCTTTTGCCGTTAAGGAAGAATGGTGTCATTGTTGTAAATTTGCTAATAAGCTGACTAGCGAACTTGAGGTTATGGTTAGTCTGATTTGTGGATGTGCTTCTATAGTTGTAATATACAACGACCGCATCAGAAAGTTTGTTGATGGACGTGAGACCTGGTGGTTTGCTTGTTGGGCTGGACACGTCCGGGCGTATCTAGTAGTCTAGAGACAAGCGGGGGGTGGGCGAATGTCTCAGATGGTTGTAGTTGAAGATTAGGCCTGGTAGTCTCGCCATGTGGATAGCACGGTTGTCGGAATGCGAGGTATGATGCGCGAATCAAAGGTAGGTCTTTTGAGTAAGAAGATCAAAGGTTATGAACATCGCCAAGGTATACTGCCAGGTATAAACATATCACCCCCTACCATCCGCCTTTGAGATGCGTCATCCCACAGCTCGTCCCCTACATCTTTGCCCTCCGCTGCAAATAAAGCCTAATGGCGACGGCCGCTATATATGTTAGCCTGTCGAATAGTCTCTCACCATGTTTTCGGATTTATTACTTACCAACAACAGCAGCCAAGCTTTTCAGGCCTACTAGACCCATAAACCACGCACCCCAGCCAAGTGCTCTACCCTGACGATCAAAGTTGGGTTTGACGTCGTTCATGCCAATAAACTTCTTCTGCTTTGCGAGTGTGTATGGCGGGTACCTGACGTCCATGAGACCCTCAAGCCAGGCTGGTGTGGTAGTCACACTCCTGCGGTGGGTAAAGGTATCGAAACTGGCCTTGCCTCTGTATGCGCCCTGGCCACTTGTTCCGACGCCACCAAAAGGCATGGTGGGTATGGAGCCGTGAAAGAAACCGTCGTTGAGAGAGGCACCTCCGCTGCGCGTTTGTCCCATGATTTGTTCCAACTCGGCCTTATTTCCAAAGGCGTAGGTGCCGAGGGGGGTGTCGTGGATCTCGTTTGCGATCCGAATGGCTTCGTCTAGGTTGGCGACGGGCAGGATGGGTAGGAGGGGGCCGAAGGATTCGGAGGTGACCATGCTGTCGTTCATGTCGTTGATCTGGACGACGGTGGGTTCGATGAAGAGGTCGGATTCGTCCATTGTGCCGCCGATGACAATCTTGCCGTTGCTAGCGTCGAGCATCTTCTTCATGCGCTGGAACTGGCGCTCGTTGACTATGCGGCCATAGTCGGGCGAGTTCCGAGCGCCGTCTGGGTAGAAATCATGGAGCTGCTTCTTCATCTCCTCGATGAAGGCCGGGACGATCTCGCGGTCGACAAAGGTGCAGTTCTGGCTGAGGCAGACCTGGCCTGCGTTGAGTGTCTTGGCCCATAGTAACCTCCTCGCGGCGAGCTTTGGGTCGGCGTGCTTTGTAACAATGGCGGGGTTCCTGCCTCCCAGCTCGAGCGTGAGGGGCGTGAGCGTCTCGGCCGCCTTCTTCGCGATGATTTTGGCGACGACCTCTCCGCCAGTGTAGAAGATCTTGTCCCACTTCTGATCGAGCAGGGCCGTCGTCTCGGGGATGGCGCCCTGGATGCACGTGTAGCAGTCAGGGTCGAGGGACTCGCGCAGGATCTTCTCGATTGCGACGGCGGCGTTGGGGGCCGACTCGGAGGGCTTGACGATGGCCGTGCATCCTGCTGCGATGGCGCCGATGAGAGGGCCGAGGGTGAGTTGGATGGGGAAGTTGTAGGCGCCAATGATGAGCACGGTGCCCAATGGGTCCTTCTTGATGCGTGGACTGAGGGGCATGTTTGTCCACGGGATGTCAGTCGCCTTCTCGTCCTTTGCGAAGCGCGGCACGTTGTTGGCCATCCAGATGCAGTCGTTCATGCACCACGAGATCTCGGTCAGGTATGTCTCGAACGACGGCTTGCCCAGGTCGCGCTTGCATGCCTCCTTGATGAGCTCTTCATTGTCCTTGAAGCCCCAGTACAGCTTCCGCAGCTGCTGGATGCGGTACTCGAGCGGCTTGGTCTTGTGCGAGAGGAAGCTGGCGCGTACCTTCGCGCACATGGGCGCGATGTCGTCCATGGGCGTGTGCTCGAAAGGGGCTAGTTCCGCCATGATGGTCTGCGTGGTATCGTGTGAGCGGGCAGGAGAACGGGTCCTGGGACAGGTAGTAGACGCCAATGGCCAGCTATAAGCTTCAGAGCCATGTCAGCGACGGCGTTTCACAGGCGCGCAGTCGTGCCTCGGTCCCGTGCAGGTGCATCAGCAGCGGGGCGTACACTAGCTCCTACCAGCCTTAGCGCGAACGGCCCCTCTCCAATATGTTCGCCCGCCGGCCCGTATGCCATGCGAGTCCCGCCGGATCGACCATCTATACTGACAAGGCTGTTTCGAACCCTCTTGACACTCACATTGATTCGTAATACATAACTAAAAACAGTGCGACCTAAACGTTGGGGGTATCTTATATATCTGCCATCTCGTATCGAGGTCGCGGGTGGCCTCGCCGTATTAATGCATATACCAAAAACTCCGACCCGCATGCTAAGCTTTGACTGAGCTTTCCTCCAAACCTCATCTGCTACTCGTGAGGCGTATAAGATCAGGCTCGTCCCCGCCAACCTTAGTCTTCTTGCTCTCCTTGCTCTCCTTGACAAAGTACGTATCCCGCTTTCCATGCAACTCCTGGTGCAGCAAATCAGTCAAGCTCTGCATCATAGCTGCCTCGGTGCTTTGTTTCGTTCGCTGTTTATCGATCGTGTGGTGCCTGATAAACTGGCCTGTACACTTGCTCGTAATCCATGTATGCTCGGTCAGACCCGGGTATCCCATCGCATCGTTGCATGGTATCTCGACAATGTTGGTACCGTTCGGATTGAAATCGTATCGAATGTATTCCGAAAACGCCTTCTGCTCGTGTGACCACTCCTTGGCCCACCGCTTGCAGTCTGGATAGCGCACACCAGTCGGGCACTCTTTCCATGCATCTAGCATATCGAAGGTATGTGGAAGGGACTGCGCAATAACAACGCCAGTGTTGAGGGCGAGCTTCCCGCGGCTATCTTCGGACGCGTGTTCGTCGCCGTTGAGCGTTTGTCGTGTATCAAAGGGCATGGCGATGCTGGTTTCCGGTGTGATACCCCAGCGATTGAAGAGCCATTCGATCGGGACTTCGAGGTGGCTTATCGTTGCGTCGGCGTCAATAAAGATGACAAACTTGTACTTCTTAAGGAGGGCGTGGAGAACGTGCGGCTTCACCCATGTGTTGTGCATTCCCTCCATGTCGTGCGCATTGATGAAGCGGTAGTCGTAGCCGTGTATTTGCGCTGTACAATGTCAGTGCTACAGCGACGACGTGAAAATCGCAAGTTGGTACGAACCGTAAAAGAAGTGGTTCATAAAGGCCGCGCTGACCATACCACCATCGCCCTCCGACTTCATCGTCTCCCAGTTCAGACGGTCTTTGTTCCACAGCTCATTCTTCTTGTTGGGTACCCTAGTATCGATGTCCACAATCAATATTTCGCTCCTAAGTGGTTCTCTCCACCATGGCGCATCTTCTTTCACTTCGTGTACTTTTCCCGACGCGTCGGTATACGATGGATCGTCTATGGGGTGCCGTATGGATTCGTAGAGCCTGAGGAAGGAGTCGCTGATCGTAGGCTTGCCAAAAACTGGGCGGTCGTTGTTGCAGACATCGTTGGCTGCCTCCTTTGCGGATTCCTTAATCTTCTCGACCACCTTGGAACCGCTTTCATGCAGCCCGGCTGTCGTCGAAATTATCAGGATGCATATGATAACAAACACACCACTGATGATCGCCAGTTTGTTGTATGACATGATAGGGCCCGGCATGTTGGTGAAGCCTAGGAGGGTTGCCAGGAGAGAAGAAGTAGAGTTGGGAGACAGGTCAGTCGTAAGAAGCGTGGCGAAGTCAGACAAGCGGGAGGGGGATGAATTAGTTAGTGGTCAACTCCCAGCCGCCACAGCCTCGTAAAAGGAAAAAATTAGGAAAAGACAATGCAGTTGTCACCGACTATGCAAGACTATCGAGCAAGATGCAATCATAAAAGGGGTCAAAACCGTTTTCACTAACCAGCACTCCCAAGGCTACCACGGATGGCACCCTAGGAGAAGAACTCTGTTCTTCGTATCGTTACTGGTTCGACATGCAGGGCTGAGCATGCCGGGAGCGGCGGGAAGCCGTTCGAGATGATCGCTGACGCTAGGAGTATACATCACGATCCCCTAGAGCGATAGTGGCGTGTCGTCTAGTCCTTTTTCCCACTAGCCTCCCCATCCGTCAGCCGGCACATCCACGGTGAAATATCCAATACGTTGCCCAAGATGTCCGAACCAAATAAACTTTCCGCGATGAAATCATCGCATTCGCGTCTCTCGTGTCGCTTCCTCAACACATCCCAACTAACGGCTGACAGAACCCAGCTGGAAATCTGACAGTACCGTGCACCATGCCGACGGGAGATATAATGCTGGAACAATGGCACCTCTCACATGGCGATGTCAACCTACTACACAATCCCTGAGCCCAGCTGGACAACATGCGCTAAGTAATCCTGGGACCTATCGTATTTATAACCAATCTTGCTGCGCCTCTGCAAGCCCACTCGTCTTCATGCTCCCGAGGCCGAGCCACGTCGTCGCACACTCTTGGCTGAAGCTACCTGGTCTTCACATTTAGCATAGTTGACAAGGACCCAAGCTTCCTTTCATCTTTGTCAGGCTTTGTTTATCTGTGGTGTTTACCACACGCATAATTACGGAGACACAGTTTCCTTTGGTCACATCCCCTCCGAAAACGAAGCCTGCATTGAACAGTTGACCTGTATCAGGGCTTGTTATCGTTACTGATATGGTTAGCATTCTAAATGAACGTATCTGAACGTCTTGATAGAGGATTCTGCAGCGAGTGGGAACGATCTATAAGCAAAGGATCGCGACAAAACATCATTAGGAAAAAGATATTGGACGCCTGATATGGATGCAGCCCTTGCATTTGACTGCTGGAACATGTTGTCTTCAGCTTGCCGCTATGCTTCTTTGATTGTCTGCTGACTTTCTGAAAGTACAGCGTCAGATCCTTCGATTCGCGCTTTCCTCATGCGGGCTTACAAATGCGCTGCATTACAAAGCAGACGCCTTATGGGATATCGAAATACTTAAAGCACCACGAAATGGCAAACTCAAAGGACTGTATTCAAATCTACAAAGGCATCCTTGCAACCATGGAATCAACTACTCGACCAATTCGTGCCGCGCTCATCGGGCTTTCTTCTTCAGCTGTCACATCGTGGGCTTCGGCGGCCCACCTCCCAGCTCTCCTTACTGCAACTGGCCGCTCGAAGATCACCATCAGCGCATTGTCAAACAGCAGCGTTGACGCTGCACAGTCGGCGATTCAGAAATATGGACTTCCAGACGGAACCAAGGCATACGGGTCGCCAGAAGATCTTGCGGCGGATCCAGACATCGATCTGGTAATATGCAATACACGGGTTGATAAGCATTTCGAGACGATCTTTCCAAGTGTCAAAGCTGGTAAGGATGTTTACGTCGAATGGCCAATTGCTGCCAACAGAGAACATATCAATGAGCTCATTGAAGCGGCGAAGAACAGTGGATCGAGGGTTGCGGTGGGTCTGCAGAGACGCTGGGCGCCACCGGTGGTCAAGTTGCGAGATGTCTTGGATAGTGGAAAAGGTAGATTAGGCAAAGTGCTGAGCTCCGACGTTCGTGCTTTCGGTGGAACGATGGACAGGGAGATTTTACCCCTAGGTTTGAAATACTTTGCAGACAAGGACATTGGCGGCAATCCGATCGTGATAGGTGTTGGTCATGGTAAGCACCTCATCGGCGCAAAACTTGTTTAGTGCTAACGGTAGCAGTGCTTGACGCCGTACTTTCGGTCGTCGGCCAACTCGATCCAGCATCCGTCCACTCTAAAACACAGATTCAGCGCCCCAACGTTCGCATACGCGACCCTAAAAGTATGCAGGTTGTTGAGAAAACAACATCAAACGTCCCCGACCTCCTTTCCGTACATGCCGCTATAGAACCCTCGCCGCTTACTGTTCCCAACGCAACACTTTCCTTTCTGTTTCGTCGCGGCCAGCCATTTCCTGGAACGCCAGCCCTCACCTGGACTATCAATTGCGAATATGGCGAGATCCGCGTTACGTCAGCCACGAGTTCGTCTTTCCAGAATAGCGAAAATGATGGTCCAGTAGTGATTCAAGTTCACCACTTCGATACTGAGCAAGTGGAGATTATCGGCTGGGATTGGAGTGATATGCAGAAGGAGATACCGATTGTCGGAAGGGATGTTATGGGGTGCCTCTTTGCCTTTGCGGATGGCAATGAGGAGGGAAATGGGTGGGTGGGCTTGGGGGACGCTGCAAGGTACGCGCAAACGATCGAAAGCTTCCTGGAGGAGTAAGCAGTATGATTGCGTGCTATAGTCGCATCAAATCTCCGCACTTTCATCGTTACTTTAGAGGTCACGTATGACTGATGGGCCTCTGAAAGTGTTTCAAATAATTGAATTGAAGTTCTTGCATCTTCATGCATCATACTCTCTTCCTAAGCTTACTTCACAACTAACGGTTTTGCGCCAACCCTTGCTGCCTCTGCATTTAGCGCGTCTACTTCCGCTTGAACCAATGGAATGCCACTCTGCTCTCTTTCCTGCTGTTGTATCTGCTCGAGCTCACCTGGGAAGTAGATTCTCTCTACCCCAGCTGCCTTCTCAGCACCCGTGACTCTGTCGTACAAGATCTGCATCCTCTCCCTGAAGTCATCTAAGCTCATGAAAAGGTCTGGTTTCACAGCGACGAGGAAGTGACCGACGTCTGATGGTCTAGACGGATCGTAAGGATTGGTTACATCGCCTGCAAATGCCGAACCGGAAAGTACGCCAGAGAAGACATCCATCATTACAGCTAGACCTGAACCCTTGGGGCCACCCATAGGGAGCATTACGCCGCCATCTAATGCCGCTTCTGGGTCATCGGTCGGCTTCCCATCTTTATCCAAGGCCCAGTCCAAAGGTATCTTCTCTCCCCTCCTCTTTGCTTTGTAGATCTTTCCTCTAGCTG